ATACATAACAACTATGCCCATGCACAGTGAAAACCACACTTTCTTGCCGAAGCAATTTAATTACTTAACAGAGGACAGTTTACTTGAATAAAGCACAAAATTGATAATAATTGTATTCAGTTCAACGAAGCTCAAGGAACCGACATCTCCTGCTGACTACGTGCATCCACGTCAAATTCGAAGAAGGTAGTCGGCCCAGGACGCATGGAGGGCGTGGTGGGTAAATGCGATGAACACAAAATTCCAAATACGTACGCGTCGACTGCATTTTGGGGGAGCACAGTTCTGAAACCGCCCTGAAGCTTGCAGTTGCACGCCTGCTTATATCGATCGACTGTCACCACTGACGCCCGCGCCAGAACGAGAACCGAGTTGCTTGACAGAGGCTTCGACGCGCTGACTTTGTTCCAGCCCACGTAACTGCACAAGTCTACAGTTCACTTCGGCGACGTAGTCATAGATGGGAAGATATTATTAAAATGGGTGTGAGGGGTGTGGAACAGACAATAAACCCTAGGGATCCACAAAGAGTCGGGAATTTTTGGCCCGCTGAGTAACTATCAGTTTAACGTAGGTATCATCATGGACCAGCAAAAAGCTCGGATTTAGTCACCACAATCTCCACCCTCACTCATTCATCTGCCTTCTTCGATCGCATTGCATCACAGTTCTGCGATTTAACCACGCGGCATTTTGCTGACAAGTTCCGTGTTCCGAGTGTTCGTCGTCCGTGGCTGCTTCTAAGAATAAACACGAACCAGAAACTCTTTTATTTTATCTTACAGAAACCGTGCAGTGAAATGAAGGGGACATTTTCATTCGATCGACGAATTGCAAGGCGCAAAACCAAGATTTAGACAAACATAATTTATATTAATGAGAATTATGACAGCGATTGCCATGTTTAAAAAAGGCGCCACTGGACCCTATCGTATTTTTGTGGTTTACTCAATGACTGTCTCTAGGTCAGACTTTTCTGGAGACTACAGTGCACACTATCACAGCATTGCCTGGGAGGGCCTGAGGAATACCAAGGCAGTCGACCTCCGGATCGTGATTTGAACCTGGTGCCTTCCGGTTACGAAGCTTCTCAAGAAATAAGATTACAAGTTTGATCATGAAAGTTAATACGCGTTCCACATTATTTGTATAATCCCGCGCAATTGTCTGCAGTTGCAAACAAAAATGCACTTTAAACAAATGTCGTCCCTGATAATTTGGTTCACTCTCAGATTCTTGGAATCCGAACGGATGGCGCTACAAAAACCGAACACGATAAGTTGGGAGGAGAAAAAGAGAGTTGAAACAGATTCTTGGAATCCGAACGGCTGGCGCTACAAAAACCGAACACGACAAGTTGGGAGGAGAAAAAGAGAGTTGAAACTCGACTCTGCAGAGAAAGAGACGGCGACTTCTCGTGAAGAAGGACAAAACCGAATGAAGAATGTGACTCGCTGCGATGTCTGGGCGCAATGTGGTAAGCGGCGCAGTGATAAAAGAAAACAATAGAACGACTATTATAGGCTACCGGGAAAACAAGAAAGCGACGCATGTGGAATGTTGGAAAGTCGCGGAAGGTCACCGATAAATCACCGCGGCGAGTGGGGGTTGGAACACGGCCTGCGAGCACCAACGCCGCAACTCACTGGGACCGCTGACATAACCTAAACGGAAAAGCGTACGGATCAGGCGCCATGGCCAATGGCATCGGAGTTCGGGGTCAATGCCCTACTGATTGGGGCGTGATGTCACCGAGGAGGATTCCCCACGCGGGATTCCCCAAGAAGTTTTCAAGTGAAGTCGCCACAGTGCAGTTCGAAATCAAGCAAAATTGGGATACGTATGAATTTTGTTTCATAATTTGGGGCCGAATGAGGTGAAGGTGAGGCGTCGAAGTTAATGACCGGACGCAACGCATGTCGACAGAATGTAGCTGACGAGGACGAAAATATTAACACTGATGACGTTGAAGGCCTTCGTAACAAGGGCGGATTCTTGCAGTCTCCACCAAACAACAGAGATGAACGGACATACAGCACGCATAATGAAAATAAATCCATGCACAATTATGGATAGGCGGATAATATTAAAATGGAACTTAAGGCAGTGGACTTTGGCCTGGATTCAAATGGCTCAGGGCAGGGTCAAATGGAAGGCCCTTGTGAGGTCACTCGGTGACGCAGACAAAACTGCATCGCCTCGACAGTCGTGTCAGCATGACGCCGCAGCGACTGGCGGCAAGTCGCCAAGGCTACCAACTTAAATTACACACATCAAGTACGTGACATTTCCCAACAAATCCCTCGCCATTCGCGCCGAACCGATTACAAGAACACATCTGCCAGTGCCTCGTGCAATTATCCTCGGCGCCAGATTCTGCTCAAGCAGGCGCTGAATTTGGTCGCGTTTCCTCGACTGCTCGCACCGCCGATTCACTCGCAGCGAATCCTCAAAATCACGTAGGACGGAGACGCTTTGCCTCTTAAAATAAACTGTGCTGAAAGGAGGACATTTCTCGGTTATTGTGACGACATAATGAACATCGCCGTTGACCAAAGCAAGCCGTGTCTGACATGGAATGGATCAGAAAGGACACTAGCGGGTCCTTGGGATCAAGATCAAGCCCTCGTGTTTCATGAAAAGGAAGTGAACGTTTTGATGGCGTAAGCTGGCATCGCCGGATGAAGCCAATTACACGCCTAAATACGAACGCGGAATCTGAGCCCGATTAAGGACTCAGCTGAGCCCGGGGGCGGGGGGGGGGCGGAAGAACTGCGCCCAGAACCCGCTGCTCAGCACTGACGCAGAAAATTAGTTTGCGATCTAGAAACTAACGCAGATGCGTATCATTTACGCATGACTTCTGTTGACGCTGACACTTTCTCGTGCAGAGCTGAGCAGTCTCGTCAAAGAGCGACGGATTCGAGCAAGACTTCGCCCAATGCGGAAAAAGAGACAGGAGAAAACCAAAAACTAGATCACGTGAAACTGTTACAGACTTTGCACCTTGACCCCTCTCAAATCACGAGCAAGGGAATGGACATTGGTGATATTTCAGGTTCTCAAGACGAAGAGGATGGATATTACTGCCGCGCAATCTGGTCTAAGGCGACGTCGTCAGTTTCTAGCAGACGACACGACACATCGTGTCAAAAGCCAGCCACTTACCAGCCATGGTGGGGTAGGCGGAGTAGCCAGCTGAGTCCAGCGCGTGCGAATGGTGCGCTGAGGCTTGGTCGTGGTGGAGCCGGGAGGCGGCGCTGTGGCCGGCCGCCCCCCAGGGCTCAGGCACGCCGCCCTTGCTGTACTGATTGTGGTGGTGATGGTATTCGTGGACAGCTCTGCAACCACAAGCGAATGCGGTGATATTTGTGCTTCGCGGCGTCGGTCCCTCGCTCTTTCGCGGTCGCTCTAAATAGGGTAATTTAGGGATATCTCGACACCTTAAGAAAGAACTCTAGGTTTCAGGAATATTTTTTGAAAATTAAAAACAGAAATTTTCATATATTATCCATGGAGGTATGTTTTATTTGTACTACAATAATAAAGCAGGTAAGTTTAAGGGAAACAGTGCAATTAACAAAAAAA